CAAGATGTCCTTCGTAACTCGGGGCAGTTCTACCTCAGAAATCAAACGTCCAACAGTGACATCGACACAATGCTACAAATGCAGGCTGACAACGCCCGTTCTTTCATGACTCCCACGATAGACGGCAGCTTCATCCACGCTCCGGTCCCTTGAGTCGAGTCGAAAGCAGTGATGCTGTGTCTAGTTCTGAAACATCGATTGGCTCATGTTGTAATTAAACTTTAATGAACTTGTAGTATGTCTCGTTGGTTTCGAGAGTCGTTCAACTTAGATGTAATCGATGCTATTAATGTCTTGCTTTTTTCTTCCGATCATTCTATTGCATACTTATATATTGCTTATGTATTGTCTGTGAATTGGTACTAACGTTTCGTTTGGCTAGTGCATAGCGATGCCGTCGTATGTCGTGTACAAGGGTAAGGTTCCCGGAGTCTACGACGACTGGGAGGAGTGTCGGAGGCAGGTTCACTGATTCAGCGGTAACAGTTACAAAGGGTACACCACTAGGGCTGAGGCCGAATCTAGATACGCCCGCTATCTAGCGGGAGAGGGGAGGGAGCGTTGGAGGAACCGGATGAAGATGAGTTTCATCGTGATGATGCTCATCGTGATGACCGCAGCTCTCTTCTATGTAATGGTAGTTTAGATGATCGATATCGACTTGTAATGTGAAGACAAACTCGCTACTCGCGGTCTCGAGACTTGTAATATAATGTTCTATCTTTGTTCGGTCTTTTCAATTCAGAGACTAATATGATGAATTGTATTCAGAGACTAATCTTCTATTGTATTCGATGAATCTGTTGTTGATGTGTGCTGTCTATATTTTGTCCAATTATACATTTTGTAACCTGTGCAAAAAACAGAAAATAAAAAAAATAGAAAAACCTAATATTCATACTAATGACGCATCACAACACAGTGCGCCATTAGTATGCCAAAGGATACTAACGGCCCATCATTAAATAGTGCGCCATTAGTATGCCGAAGTTACTAATGGCGCATCTTGCTGTTGTGCGCCATTAGTATGCCAAAGCACCTGGGTATACATGGCCCCCTGGGAGGCATACTAATGGCGCACTGTTGTATATACTAATGGCGCATCCGGTGGTGCGCCATTAGTATACCAGATACTAATGACGCACCAGTGGTGCGCCATTAGTAAAATATACTAATGGCGTGGCACTAATGCGCCATTAATGGCCAAATTAGGTGCGCCATTAGTAGGCCTTTTCCTAGTAGTGGTAGGACCCACTAATCATTGAGCCATATGATATACTAAGTAATCCTGTCTCGTCCCTACAAGTGGGCCCGATGCCAGATGAGATAAGCACCGTCTTTGCACGTTCGTCTCAAGTTTTAGAACCAATTCGATGTATTTTCCAAATTCAGGCACCAAAGTAAACATGCATGGCAAGTTCAAACACCACTGTCGATGCCTAGTACGTCTACGGATGAGATTAACACCGTATTTGCACATTCATGTCAAGTTTTAGAACCAATTTAATGTATTTTTCAAGTTTAGGCACTAAAGTGAACATCCATAGCAAGTTCAAGCACCACCCATGTATTTACCTCTATTTTATTCGTAAAGTTGTCTTCTCGAATTAATTTTGAGTTTCAGAGGAGATGGATTAAAATGTAGGGCTATCGTTTCAACAAAGCGGCAGCAATGCGTAAATCAGTAAGCATGCACATTTATCTGCAAGAAAAAAATGTTCTCTCAGAATTTTGTCCTAGATTTCCATCATTCAGAGTTCATAGGGTGTTTTGACCTCACTGAATTACTCCCTCCGTCCGGAAAAACTTGTCATCAAAATGGACAAAAAGGAATGTATCTAGAACTAAAATACATCTAGATACATCCCTTTTTATTCATTTTGATGATAAGTATTTTCGGACGGAGGGAGTATAACAGTATACGTCATGGTACGACGGATTACAACAAAAGCCACGTGATACCCATTCACACAAATGACAAATAATAAGTCGGAGTCTCTCTAGTTAACTTAACGAATAACAAGTGAAAAGTATCAGCTACTTCCAAAAGAACGGAACCCATTTACTGATTGGTCAAAAGTACTCCCTCCGTCCGGAAATACTTGTCGGAGAAATGGATGAAAATGAATGTATCTACAACTAAATTGTGTCTAGATACATCCATTCCCCCGACAAGTATTTTCGGATGGAGGGAGTATTAGCCTTCTTCCAACAAAAACAGAATGGTGAATTAACATTACATAATACTCCCTCCGCCCAGAAATACTTGTCGTCAAAATGAATAAAAGGGGATGTATCTAGATGTATTTTAATTCTAGATACATCTCTTTTTGTCCATTTTGATGACAAGTATTTTGGAACGGAGGGAGTAGTGTTTACAATAGGGTGTTAGTTGCGTGAATGCTCCAATTTTCACGCCGTCCACTAGATTTGATCCATACCACTGCCCTTCAAACCAACGAACTATGTGGTAGTGAATTTCATGGTTACATCTGATGTCCAAATGTCATGCCCCAAAATTACGTACAGGAAAGCCGCATTTTTCTTAGCATATACACCGAACCCAATCGTTATGTGTTTCTGATTCCTCTCGCTCCTACCGACAGGACTCTGAACTTGGGTTATGTTCTCCTAGCCTGCTCTCTGTTTTGTATTTTTGCTGGCTACTTTCTCTTCCATGAATGGGCAGCAAAGTGAGGGGCCAGGGGGGCTTTTTCAAAGCAGTATGGAACTACTGAAGTTAAGATCAAAGAGCTAAGAGCCACAACTCTCAATCAGCTGTCCTCCGACCTATTTATATTTGGAAGACCTGTAGAGCCACATCTTCCGTTATACTCCCTCCGTCTTAAAATAAGTATCTCAACTTTAGACACATATTTTAGGACGGAGGGAGTATTTGTTACACACAACTCCAACAGTGTACATTAATTGCATAAAACACATACAATTCTTTGATGGTAAAATGATCAAAAAACTCGATGCCTGGGTGGCTTATGCGACATTATCTGTAGCCAGACTGACTCTGTTAGGATCCAGTTTGGATGGGATCCCCTCCTTCCTCATGTCGATGTTCCTCTTCAATAAAACTTTTATTGAGAAACTGGATAAACATCGCAGACGTTTCTTTTGGAGGAGAAAAAAATAAGAAACATGGCTATCATATGGTTAAGTGGACGAGAGTTTGCAGATCCAAGAGGATTGGGGGTTTAGGGATTAAAGATCTTCATAAACAAAATATTGCCTTACTCGTTAAGTGGTGGTGGAAACTAGAAACGAGTGATGGTTTGTGGCAACGTATTGTGCGAGCTAGATATTTCAGGAATAAAACAGTAGCTAACATTCGGAGTCGCTTTACGGACTCCCCCTGCTGAAAAGCCATTATGAAAGTTAAGGATTCATATATGGCTGGTAGAAGAGTTAATATTGAGAGCGGGAACCTTACTAGGGTCTGGTATGACCCATGGGTCGATAACATTGTGCTGAAAGATCATTTCCCTGACTTGTTCAGTGTTTGCCAAGATCAGGATTGCACTGTTGCATCCTGGGCTGCGAGTAACTATGAGATTGGCTTCAGGCGCAGATTGGTTGGGGCGTTGGGCGATCAATGGGCTTGGATGGTCACGGGAGCTAAAAAGCTGACGTTGAATGAGTCCCCAGATAAGATTTCATGGACCCTTGGTGGTAAAGGAAAATTTACTACTAAATTCTTATATGAGTGGCCGGAGAGAAACCTATCAGGGCCTAACTATAAAATGGTGTGGAAAGCACCCATCCCGCTGAAGATTAAGATCTTCCTTTGGCAATTGTTTCAAAATGCCATCCTTACCCTGATAACATGCGTGCCAGGAATTGGCCTGGAAATCCCATTTGTTCCTTTTGTACTAATGTTGAAACGGCAAACCACTTGTTTTTTTCCTGCTCGCTCGGTCGGTCGGTTTGGGGAACGCTGGGCATGACGGCCGGGGCATCCTGCTGCCCTCGCTCTCTTTGGCAAAGTTTGTCTTGGCTTTATAAATTCTTTCCGGGTGGGAAGCATATCTATATGATGATTATTGCTGCAATATGTTGGGGGATTTGGATTCTCCGCAATAAAGTTACTTTTGATAAACATGTCGTTCGATCCCCTCTGGAGGCTGTTTTCACGACATGTTCTTTTATGATGTATTGGGCAGGTTTACTGAAGGAAGAAGATAGGGTGAAGCTCCAGGCGGGGGTGAAGAGATTGGCTCATGCTGCTGCGGCGCTGGCGGACAGATCCTTCCCTCGAGGCAGATTGCTCTTGGGAGACAGAGATGGTGTGCAGATTGGTTAGGTGCGATCAGCGCCTGATATTCTAAAACTTCACTTCCCACTGGGGTTTGATGCCCGCTGATATTTTGTATTGTGGCTATGGTTAGCTTAGTCGCTGGAGTCTGCTAGTTGTTTCATCCTGGGTCGTTCGGTACTTTGTTTTTTGAGCAGTGGCTTGTGAGTGTCATCAGGTTTTCGCCCCATGGCTGGTGGTCCGTTCCAGGATCATCATGCGGTGGGTCTCCTGATGATGCGCCAACTCGCTCCCCCCTTTTCAGTCTCATTTCGCGCAAGGTTTGTCCGGTTTGAAGTTAGTTGGTTATTCGGGTACTAAGAACTTAGATACAGACTGATGTATTTCCGTTGATTGCAAAATTAATGGAAAGGGGTTGTGAGCCCGGTTGGAAAAAATTCCATAAGCATCAACTGCTTAACCACCAGCATGTACTATACAGATATACAAATACCAGTACAAACTGGGGTAAACCATAAGCATCACCTGTTCAACAACAACCACCAGTACGTAGCTTTTTCATGGCCTGTGAAGCAAGGTAGGAACGCGCCCATCACACACAAACTACTTACCAATTACCACGGACCAGGAAGCACATGCTTCGCTTATTCCACCAAAAAGAAACGAAAGAACCCAAAGTCCCAACGATACATAGAAGAACTGCATCTTCATGAACCTGATGGTCCAAAGTGCTAATTCACTTCTCCCACCAGTGAAGGAAATCCTTGCGCCTGTTGATCTTCTTCTGCAACTGGAGAACGCCATACAGGAGAGCTTCAGCTGTTGGAGGGCACCCAGGGACGTAGATGTCCACGGGAACGATCCGGTCGCACCCACGCACGACGGAGTATGAGTAGTGGTAGTATCCGCCGCCATTGGCGCAGCTGCCCATCGAGATCACCCACCAAGGCTCTGGCATCTGGTCATAAACCCTACCGAGAGTAGATGAAGCTCAAGATATCAGCTAGATCTAGATAAAGTAAAATTCCATACGTACAAAATGATTATTTAAAATGAAAAGAAAGAACTCAATGACCCCTGAAAAAAGAACACAAGGTTTTAAGCTAATCTATACTTTCGCGGCTCGGTACTTAGGATACATGTATTAACAAACCTTGATAAGTTGAAATGAACAGTCATGTCTATGCCGTTTCAAGAAAATTGGCATCAACCAAAAGCAAGTCATACAGGACAAAAGAACCTTTCTGTTCCACTTACTGCAGCAACCATACAATCAAGGCGCCTATGTCACACTATGTTTGTGTTCCTTATTCCATAAAGGCAAATCGAGAATTCGAGATAGTATGTCAGGGAAAAATAAGTCTCTGTAATCTGGAAATAGACAAATTGGACTTCAAGGACTAGAACAGGTGCTACATCATGTTTAGAGAGCCACCAACCTCAGATGAAACAGCTTAGAAAAGAGTAATAATGTGCAGGAGTGCGATATTTTACTCGTAAGGTTTGATCTTCTCGAATTAATTTGAAGTTACACAGGAGATACATATAAATGTAGGCTAATTGTGCTGCTCATACTCTAGCACAGCTGGCATTAAATGATCCTTCTGATGTACTACCAGCAGACATTTGCTGGGATTGTAAGGGCCGATAGTGCCCATATGGTTTCCGTGGGAATTGTTTTTGAACTACGTGTTGTTGCATCGAATGGTCACATATAATGTTCAAATCCCGTATGTCAAAATTTTGTACGTATAAGCATGAACATCCTTAGCATATATGCTGAACTCAAACAACATGTGTTTCTGATTCCTCTCACTCCTATTGATGAGACTCTGAACTTGGAGTATCTTCTCCTAGCCTGCTTTCTCTGACTTGGATTCTTGGCTGGGTACTTTCTCTTCCATGGATGCATGGGTAGTGAACTGCCTAGGGGGAGCAAGGCCACATCCTCTCCTATATATAGCATGAGCTTCTGAGCAAATTAATACTGCATGGTACTACATGAGATCTAGGCCCTGTTTGGTAATGATCCGCTCCCGGAATCTGCGGAGCGGGTGACTGGCAACTCCACCATTTTGACCTACAGCTCCGCCAACTCCGCTCCGGGAGCTGTGGAGCGGAGCGATGCCGAACAGCACCCTACTATCCTGTAGGGGTTAACTCACCAAAAAAATAAATCAGCTACGGTGCTTCAATGGTACTCAAAAGTCTTTTAATCACTCATTAACTACTGAAGTTAAGATCGAAGGGATAAGCAGCCACAGCTCTCAGCCGGCAGTCTTCCCACCTAGTATTTGTTAGTTGTTACACACAACTGCAATAGTGTACTGTGTACAACGACACAGTTCCATAGAATGTATATCAGATCCATCATATGTTTAGTATAGATATACAATACGATCATATGAATACAAACTGGGGAACACCATAAGCATCAAATGTTCAGCCACCAGTACATAACTTGTTCATGGCCTGTGAAGGATGATAATAACCCACCGAACACACACAATCTGCTTGGGTCTGCCTATTCATCAGGCACCTGGAAAAACTCTTCGCGTCAGTCACTATGCTTTAGACCATCATATCAATATCCAATGGCGAGAAACGCGCCGCCACGGAGTATGAGAAGTGATAGTATATATCCACCGCCGTTTGCGCAGCTGTCCATCGAGGCTCTGTCACCTGGTCATAAACCCTGCCGAGAATAGGTGAAGCTCAAAATGTCAGATACATCTAGTTATCCACATTTAAATAGGTATTATCAATCAGATGAAACCAAAATAAAATTGTATATGTCAAAATAAAAAAGAAACACAATTACTATAAAAAAGAACAGAATGTTGTAAGCTAATTTGTGTTCTTAGTACACAGTTGCTATGATATTTTAATCAAGGAACCTTGAGAAATTGCAATGAACAGTCATGAGTATGCTATTTCAAGAAAACTGGCATCCCCATCCATCGGCAATCAAAAGCAAGTCATAGAGGACAAGAGAACCATTCAGTTCGACTTTCTGCAATAACCATACAAATAAACATGTAACTGTGAAGGTGCCTATGTCACTCCCTTTGTGTTATTTATTCCACAAAAGCAAATCAAGATAGCATGTTAAGCAGAAAACAAGTCTATCAATCTCAAAATAGTCAAACTAAACTTCAAGGAATAGAACGGGTATTACAGTATGTGTACAACATATTTAGAGAGCCACCACTTTGGAATGTGTTTGAATTTGCAGGAGCACGATATTTTATTCGCAAGGTTTGTCTTCTGGAATTAATTTTGAGTTCCAGAGGAGATGCATTAAAATGTAGGGCTAATGTTTCAACGAAGAGGCAGCAGTGTGTAAATCAGTAAGCATGGACATTAATCTGCAAGAAAAAGAATGTTCTCTCGGAATTTTGTCCTAGATTTCCATCATTCAGAGTTCATAGGGTGTTTTGACCTCACTGAACTATAACAGTATATGTCACGGCACAACGAATTACAACAAAAGCCACGTGATACCCATTCACACAAATAACAAATAGTAATAAGGTGGAGTCTCTCTAGTTAACTTAACGAATAAGAAGTGAAAAGTATCAGCTTCTTCCAAAAGAACGGATCACATTTTCTGATTGGTCAAAAGTATTAGCCTTCTTCCAACAAATACAGAACGGTGAATTAACATTACATAATAGTGTTTACAATAGGGTGTTAGTTGCATGAATGTTCCAATTTTCACGCAGACCACTAGATTTGATCCATACCACTGCCCTTCGAGACCGACGAACTATGTGGTAGTGGATTTCATGGTCACATCTGATGTCCAAATGTCATGCCCCAACGTTATGTACAGAAAAGCCATATTTTTCTTAGCATATACACCGAACCCAGTCATTATGTGTTTCTGATTCCTCTCACTCCTACAGACAGGACTCTGAACTTGGGTTATCTTCTCCTAGCCTGCTCTCTGTTTTGTATTTTGGCTGGCTATTTTCCCTTCC